GGATTATCTTCGTGAGATTGGTGTGATTTTTTCTTTTCTTATTGTCAATTCATTAGTTAATTCTGATTAAATAAATTTACGTATATTTGAATTGTAGGAAAGGTGTAAAGAAATTAAAGTTCACGCATGTGGTTATTTTTATTTCTGTTAATATAAATTTTTATATTTTCGTAGTTGGCAAAGGACACGATTAACGTTCGTTGGCCAAACATCAATTTCATGGAGAATGTACAGCTTATACTCACTGTTCCCGCTGAATTTACCGACAAAGCAAAGGGAATAATGAGAGAATGTGCCTTTAATGCTAATCTTATCAATACTTTGCAATCTAGCCATCTTCGATTTACCACCGAACGTAAGCGCTTTTTTACATTACTTTTTTTATTTTTTAATTTATCAGATAATTTAGTCAATATGTAAATATATTTTTTTTAGCGGAAGCTGCTGCTTTATATTGTATGAAAGTGTTAAAAGAATACTTTGATAACTCAGTTGGAAGTATGTTATTTTCTTCCGCTTATTATCTAATAACACAATTTTATTGACTGACCTTATTAAATATAAACAGCGTCCTTCCTTATATGTGATTGTGGAGGTGGCACCGTAGATCTAACAACACGTACACTTTTAGAAGGAAATAAACTAGGAGAGATCACCGAACGAACTGGTGGTTTTTGTGGAGGCAGTTATGTGGATCAAGAATTCGTTAAATATCTTAGACGCAAAGTCGGTTCTATCGCTGTCGATAATCTTAAAGAAAAACACTATGGTCAATATCAATACATGATTCAACAATTTTGTAAACTTGTAAAATTGCCTTTTACTGGCGATCGAAATGCTTTCAGACTTATTGAGTTCGATCTTGGAGAAAATTGTCCGGTGATTAAACAATATGTGCAGGGGAAGGATAAGTCACTACTAGAAGAGGAAGAATGGATTTTAGAATTAGACTTTGAAACTGTGAAATCGATGTTTGACCCAGTAATTGGGAAGATTATTCGGCTAATACGTAATCAGTTAAATTCTGGAAATTGTCAAGCATTATTTTTAGTAGGAGGATTTAGCGAATCAAAGTATCTGCAATCGCGAGTTAAGGAAGAGTTCGATTCACAAGTGGGAACTATTGCTGTACCTCGGCAACCCATAACAGCAATTGTTCGTGGAGCGGTCGATTATGGCCTAAAATTTAGTACTATAAAAGATAGAGTATTAACATATACATATGGTGTGTTAACTTCTCCGAAATGGACTGAAGGTGATCCTCCGGAACGGAAAAGAAGCGATGGCCGGATTGATAAGTTCTTAGAAATGGCTAAACGTGGAACTCGAGTTAACGTGGACCAAAAGTTTTCCCAAAGTTTGGTTCCTATTAAAGAAGATCAAACACGGCTGTCCATGGATACCTATGTTACTAGAGAGTATAGTGCAACATTTTGTGATGAACCAGGAATGAAACTACTTGGAGCTTTTACTATCGACTTGCCAGATACTCACCTTGGTTTAAATAGGCCGGTGCGATATACACTTTCTTTCGGTCAGATGGAAATAGAATGTATTGCAAGGAATGAAACCAATGGAAACGTTTATAATACTACTTTTACTTTGGATTTAGATTAATCATTAAATTTAAAGCTTTTTGTCCTAAATAAAATTTTTTAAACTTGTTACTTTCGTGGTCAAAATCTATTAAAACTGGGGGAAAAAAAAATTTTTTTCTAATAATATATGGCGTTTCGATATATAAATCGTAACTTCAAAAAATTGTTAATACTGACGGAATCGTAACATGCAGTCACAACCTTTAATTTCAAATAAATATCATAAAAAATAATAATAATAAATAAATAATTATTATATTACGGTTATTTATAAAAATATTGTCAGCAACCGATTTCCGTAATCGCGTTTACGAAAAGACGCGAATTTAGTAGGCTTTCTAGAGTAGACATACTTCGTATTCGTAGGCTATCAGACAATCCGTAAGATAGTTAAACCCTAAGATAAAGGGGATGAAAAAACGACAAAAGGAAGGTAGAGAGGAAGAACTAGGGTAAAGAAAAAAAAAATAATAAATAAGTTGCGTAAAACACCTCGATCTAGTCGAAACACCTCTTTTCGTATCCTGCCACTAGAGCTTGTGCAAGATTTTGGTGATAGATCCGTCGCTGGCGAATCAACATTAAAATAGTTATTAATGCATGTTATACTGTAACTAATTTTTTTAACTGTTAAAAAAATATTTTAATGAGATAATAAAATCATCAAGTTAATAATTAATTAGTAATTATTGTGAATATGATACAGTTTAGTATTTATATTTTCATTTTTGTCAACGATTTATATCATTTTAAATAATTTTATTTTATTTAATAGTAATAATAATAGACGATGAGCAATAAACAATTTCATATACAGTATTTACAATGTAAAACACGGTGCTTGTGTTTGATCTTTATCAATGGGAATTAATATCTCGGAAAACTCTTGGTTCACGTCAACTCGAGTTCCACGTTTGGCCATTTCTAAGAACATTTCAATCCGGTTATTACCTGTTTTCCGTTCTGGAGGATCACCTTCAGTCCATATCGGAGAAATTAACACACCATATGTATACTTTAATACCCTGTCCTTTATAGCACTAAATTTTAGACCGTATTCAACTGCTCCACGAACAATTGCCGTAATGGGATTCTGAGGCACAGCAATAATTCTCACTTGAGAGTTAAATTCTTCCTTAACTCGCGATTGTAAATACTTAGATTCGCTAAATCCTCCTACTAAAAATAATGCATGACAATTTCCAGAATTTAACTGATTACGTATTAGCCGAATAATCTTCCCAATCACCGGGTCAAACATCGATTTCACAGTTTCAAAGTCTAATTCTAAAATCCATT